GTGTGAATAGCGCATGGCAACTTACATATGCGGACCTGATTACTTATGTACCTCGGTCTTGATAACTTTGGCATGAGGGGGGGAGGGGTTCACAAAATATCACCTCGGTAACTTTGTATGTGAATAGCATGGTATCTCACATATCGTAGACCATGATAATTTATACCCGGTAATATCTGTAAACAACGTGGTAACATATGTAGCTCAGGCATGATACCTTACTTAGCCCAGAAGTGGTAACTTTTGATCCGAAATAAAAGTTGTCTGAACAAATCAATATAGTATCTAGTTTTGATGCTTTCTTCGAGAACCATTTCGATCGGACCAACGGTTTAAGCTACAAAAATTTTGAAGTTTCGAAATAAAGGGGAATCAAGGATGACATCAACTTTTTGGTATTCTAATTCATTTGCATGTGGGGAGAATTCGAGGACAACTTTTATGCCCCGGTAATTTTTATATAAATAAGATGGTAACTTACGTATCATTGACGTGATAACTTGCTTAGCTTGGGCCTGATAACTTTTGACCCTGAAAAAAAGTCGTCGAAATATATCAACACGGGATCTAGATACGAAGATCTCGTCGCGACGAATCTTTTATGTGAAAACAGCTTTTTAATCCGAGCTATGGTTTGTGCTACAAAACATTTTAAAGTTTGAATTTCAAAGAAATCTTTGATGACATCAACAATTTTGTTTTTATATGTATGCATATTTAACAATGCAGTTGCAAGTTCACGCGCATGCAAAGTCATCATCACTCGTCCTGCATGCATGTGTCTTTGCGCGATCGTCCGTACCTATAGCTAAAATCCCACCGTCCGGTCGTTAGCACAGTCCATAAAAAAATTATCTGTGAAAAAAGAAAGCTCAGAGTTGCCATATTATGAGAAAAACTGCCATTAAAAGAAGAAAATTGAGAACTAAAAAATCCCAGTGATGCAAACCAGAAATTGCCATCTGTCTTTAACCAAGCAAAAAATGAATGCTATGGACAAAAATGATAATGCCTAAAACCTACTATGTGTACAAAAATAGAAAATTAACAAAAGACCATATGCAGTAAGTATTTTTCCATGTAATATACAGGACTAATTTCCCATCTAATATAATACCAAAAAATCATACATGAATAAGAATGCAACAATGTGATTCCTTAATTAAAAATTGTATTCTTTCTCACATCGTCCTAAAAAAAGAATCTTATCTTGCCGCAGGCATTAAACTAAATTTGTCGTGGGACATCTAGTGAATTTACCATGGTAAGAAAAATAGTTGACATTGTCTTGAAAAAAGAAACTTGCCATGGGCATTAAACTAAATTTATCATGGGACATCTAGGGAATTTGCCATGGAAAAATCAGTTTAAAATTGCCATGAAAAAATGTTGACATTGTGTTGAAAAAAGAAACTCGCCATGGGCATTAAACTGAATTTTCCGTGGGACATCTAGGGAATTTGCCATGGAAAAATCAGTTTAAAATTGCATGAAAAAGTGTTGACATTGTCTTGAAAAAAGAAACTCGCCATGGGCATTAAACTGAATTTTCCGTGGGACATCTAGGGAATTTGCCATGGAAAAATCAGTTTAAAATTGCCATGAAAAAATGTTGACATTGTCTTGAAAAAAGAAACTCGCCATTGGCATTAAACTGAATTTTCGGTGGGACATCTAGTGAATTTGCCATGGAAAAATCACTTTAAAAAAAGTTTTTATCAGTTATGCCACCGGTTGTATCCCACTACTCAGTTTTGCCACTAGAAATTTCAACTGCTTAAAAATATCATCGCTTCATTAGACACATGCTCAAAAATGCCACTAAACACCAATATTGTGATCTCAAATCTTTTTTGCCATGTTATAATGACATAAATACCTATGAACCAACATGCCAGCTCTCCCTCTATCTCACTACAATAAAGTATGGGCCCACTTGATCCCAACAGCGTTCTTATTTTTCTGTAAAATTATTCGCTTGGTTACTCCTGACAAGTGGGGCCACACATATCATTGTGAGATAGAGAGAACTGACATGTGGGTCTAGGCTTATTTTTGTCATAGAACATGGTCAACGGGTTTGACGTAAAAATAACAATGTCTGATGGCATTTTTGAGCAAACATCTAACAGAACGACGACATTTTTAAGATATCTAATGGCATTTTTGAGCAAGCATCTCACGGATTGATGGCATTTTTCGAGTAGTTGTAACTTCTAATGACAAAACTGAGTAGTGGGACACAACTAGTGGCATAAATGATAAAAACCCAAAACTAAAAATTGACATTGTCTTGAAAAAAAAACTTGCCATGGGCATTAAACTTAATTTGCCGTGGGACATCTAGTGAATTTGCTGTGGTAAAACATAATAGCATCATCTTGAAAAAGAAACTTGCCATGGGAATTAAACTGAATATGTCATGGGATATCTGGTGAATTTGCCATGAAAAAATCACTTTAAAAATTGCCATGGTAAAAAAAAGTTGGCATCATCTTGAAAAAAAAGAAACTTGCCATGGGCATTAAATTGAATTTTCTGTGGGACATCTAGTGAATTTGCCATGGCAAAATCACTTTAGAAAATTGCCATGGTAAAAGAAAAGTTGACATGGTCTAAAAAAAAGAAACTTGCCATGGGTATTAAACTAAATTTGCCGTGGGACATCTAGTGAATTTTCCATGGCAAAATCACTTTAAAAATTGCCATGCTGAAAAAGTGTCATCGTCTTGAAAAAAGAAACTTGCCATGGGCATTAAACTGAATTTACCGTCAGACATCTACTAAATTTCTCGTGGAAAAATCATTTTAAACATTGCCATGCTAAAACTTGCCCTGATCTACGAACTAAATTTGCCATGGCCAATTTAGGACACAAAATAATTTATCTTGTCCTAAAAAACTTGCCATGCTATCTAGAGAAAAGTGTGACTTTCCTAGAAGAATGCTTATAAATATGCATGTATAGTGGCCATTGAAAAAAAGACTCAAATTAAGTTTCCCATGTCAATACATCTTAAGTTTGCAAATAATGGCAGAAAAACAACACATATTAAAGTTTTGCATGGCAAACTCGATCTTGAGCTACCCATAGGACGACATGTTAAAGAATTGCCATGGCAATATCACATTATAGACAAATTAAAAACAATGGACAGCCATTCCAGGGAACAAAACAACTACTTCCCATATAAATGTTTAGATCGGAGGAAAACCCCCCATCAAAAACACCATGAACAAAACAACTACTTCCCATATACATTGTGAATCTGCGATGCATCTACTCCACCAACAAAGTGTGACCAAACTAAAAAATCCATCTCATCTCTGCCTCAATTTTCGGCCATGGACTTAAATTGCCATCCTTCATTGAAAGCTACATTTGCCTTGGCAAAAGGTGGAGACATGCCATTTTTTTTCAATTGTCATGTGATCATGGCAATTAAAATTTGCCATTGTGTTGGGTAAAAGCATGGTAATACTTTGCCATGAGACATAGGGGGAAACTCCAAGCACTTGCCATGTGACAGCTACAAAAAGAAACAAGAGTCTGCAAAATTACCATGATGAAAGAACACATTTTTTGAGAAAATTGCCATGGGTTTGAACAAAACTTTACTGAAATTTGCCATTGCCCCCATTTACTATCACATATCATCTACGGCAAAAAAGAAAGAAAACTGGCCTACTGCCCACATCTAAATTGGACAGAATTTTTTGCCATAGCAAGTATATATAAACATCATGGCAAAAATTGCAGTAACTTTGAAAAAGGGGTCCCACAGTGTTAACAACATGGAAAAAACCAAACAAAAGGGCATGTCACAAGCTGTGAATGTTCTTAACATTCAGAAAAAACAAAACAAAAAAGGGAATCTAGAATCAATGCCAACGCTTGCATTAAATCTGTAGAATACAGAAACCGTAAGTGTTGTGAATCATTGACATGATTTTTAGAGACAACAAATAATATGTTGATAATTTCAGGCGTCCATGCTTCAGTTGTTGGTAAAATTCAGGCATTCAGGCACGGGATGAATTGTGAAGCATTGACAACGAATGACATAGGGAATGAAGCATTGCTCACCTTGAAAACGCTTTCCTAATTGATCTGGCGGAAGTCACGGGTCACGGCGGTCGCTGCGAGGAACAAGCTGTGGTCACGGCGGCGACGCATCCGGCTTGCTCGTCTTGCTGGTACTGTTGTAGAGTAGGAACGTGACCGAGGGCATGGTCTGCGGCTGTGGCCGCTGGCAACACAACGCCGACGGTCAAGGCGCCCTAGTGCAGATGCTGCCCGCCGCGCGCCGCGCACGGAGCAGAGTCGTCCTAGCCGCCGGGCGTGGAGAGTCTGGCGCCGAGCATTGGCGTGAGACATCCCTGGCCGCAGGGCATGTAGATGAGGAAGGAGGAGAAGAAGCAAAGAGAAGAGCGCAATGGATTCACCGGCGAGCGGTCGCAGCGCTCCGGCGTACGGCGGCGCGGGGACGACCAGCTCTCGGCGAGAGGAAGGCGTCGGCTGCTGCCTGGGTTGGAGGCGAATCGACGGGAGCTCGGGCGTGGTTGCAGGCAGCAGGGACGCCCGGTCAGGCGGCGGTGCACGACGAGCAGCTCGCCACCCCGTATGGGCGTGGTTGCAGGCATCTGGGAGAAGAAAGGAGTGTAGGAGGAGAAAAGGATAGAGACAGAGGAGTGGGGCGGCGTTCGGGACGGCTGTCGTTCATGCCGAACGAGCTTCTTCGCTGACGTGGCGATTTTTGGTGCTCTAGGATTCGTGCCAAAAATCAAACGGCAGAGGAGGCGTTCGGACTGAGAATCTAAAAAACGGTACGTTCGGCACTTATTGATTCCGTTTTCTTTTGCCGTTGGCTGCAAGAAAAGAAGATAGGTGAAGTGGAACAAGCTCACCGAGAGGGGTTTATCTCCCCGTACCCCTTCATGGATCCATCGTCCGTGGTTAATTTAAGATCCGTGCTATTTTTGGGGTCGTTGTCAAAATTTAACACGTTTTAAAATGGTCTGTTCGGTTTTTCTCTTGTTTCAATGTGTATCGTCGTGTTTTCTTTGTTTACCAGTGAAAAATGCACTTGTTTTCTGAACATCAGTAAACACGACGATACACTTGTTATGGATCGAGTTTGCTGATACACGATGAAATATAAGATACGCTTTGAAAGAGGAAGGAAAACTCAATGAACACTTGGAAACATGATAATTCTAAGAAGATAAAAAGTAGCACGAAACTCAAAGCAACCACGAACGATGGATCCGTGTATGGGATATCCTGTGCATGCTAGAATTACTTTTCTTCAAGTTCATCTGGATTTTGGGGCATTCGGCGCTTTCATTAGGGTAAATATTAAGCGTGATGTCAATCTGCCATTTACCAACATTTGTTATTGTGTCTAGTTCTGGAAAATGAGAACATTATCAAGTGCAATATGAGAAGACCCCCAAGTTTTGTGCTGCTTTTGGCCTTTTAGGGCATATGCATGAGGAGTGTGAATACAAGGACAAGGACTTGAAGTGGGGCGCATGGCTTAAAGCCGATGCACACACATGGAGAGGCCGATTTTCATGTGGAAGAGGTAGGGTAACATGTATATATGAGGGGGTGACATAGCTGACTTTGGACGTGGCCGTACTGACTTTGGCCCACGCAGAGGTAGAGGGGACTTTGTGGATTGGTGCCTACATTCCAGTTGTGCCTAGAATAAGACCTCAGGGAAGAGAATGAGCTTGCAGACACGACATCTATGTAGGGTAAAAAAGTGTATATATGTCTGAGGGTAAAAAGGGGGTGAGGAAAAGATTATGTTCAGAAGATGAAAGGAGGAAGAAAACACTGTGGATCAATTGAATGTTGTCCCAGTGGATAAGGTGACAAAACCGGGGTAGCTATGAAGATTAGTTAGGACCTAAGTAACTAGAAAAAAAACGAAATGATAAGAAAAGACAGAAGGGTCGTGTAAGTTTAGCTTCGAGAGGATCAGCGGCCTCTCTCGGATGCAGTGCGCCGACAAAGATGAAACTCCTATTCTTGAGCTGCCATGGTTTGGTAACACTGCGGCAGTTCGATCATTCCTGGTTGCCCATCACTGTTGTAACCCTAAGGTTTTGCTCCTATTGGAGACACACCTTGATGGCTATCCAGCTGAGTGTTTGTCTAGAAACTTGCGTACGAGATATAAAATTGTCTCGGATAGTGATGAGGAAGGGTGGTTAGTGCTATTTTGGAGAAGAGAGGTTAGTGTGTAGAAATTATTTGCAACACCTTATTACACTGGCGGCTAGCCGGAGCAAGAACTATTGAGCCCCCGTTTGGGGATTTAGGTGTGAGATAGCTTCCTAAAGTTTAGCTGGGGGCTGGAGGCCGAAGGACCTCCTCTGTTGTACCTCTTTTTTTGCTCTCACCCTGATCACTTGATCAAACTTTGTCTCCCATATGCTCTCTTCTAAATCTATCAAAGCCAGCCAAGCTGGATCTTTTAAAAAAACACCTTATTACATTTATGTTAAGGTGATGAAGGGGTGGAAGGGAATGGAGACTCACCGGAGCTTATGGTGAATTCCGTTGGGAGGAGAAACACTAGAAATGGGAGCGCATGCGCTACCTATAGTAACACTCTGACTACCCATGCCTATTGGTGGGTAACATAAATGAAATCATGTTCATGGAGGAGAAAGCAGGCCAACCCTCGTCCACGGAAGTATATGCAAGCTTTTTGTGGAGCTCGTAGTGATTGTGAGCTCAAGAACATTGGATTCATAGGCGAAGTGTTTCAGAATTCAGAGTTTAATGCAAACAAGGATATCTGCTTCGAATTTTCAAATTAAGTACTCCCTCCGTTCATTTTTATAATACGTTCCAGACAACACACATTGAATTGTTTTGACTGCCGTCTGAACATCTTATAAAAGTGAACAGAGGGAGTAAATGAACTTCTCAAGGAGGGACGTATATTCCCATTTTTTTCTCTAAACAAATTTGATTCCCGTTGATCCATGTGCCGCTGCCGAAAAACAGAAAAAAGGTACACACGGAAAACGTATAATCTGAGTGAATGCTTCCAACAAGCAAGCAAAATCGGAAATACCCACGAGTATTTATTTTCTTTTGCAAAAATAAAAAAAAGCCATGAGTAGTGAAACAAGCGTTCCAATCCCAGCTGTTTCAGAATTCAGATTCAGTGCAAACAACTGAAAAAGGCTGCTTCGTTTTGACAGCGTTTGGCCCTAGAAGATCATGAGCAACTTTTTGATTTCTTGTTGGAAGATCATGAGTAACTGAAGTACTGAATCCAAGCAGATCAGGAGTAACAAGCAAGAGAAAAGGTACTAGAAAGAACGTAAAATCTTTCTGGATTACTTCCAACAATCAACAAGCAAGAAAATTCAGTAATCTCCAGTGAACAAGAAAATTGCTAAAGATTGATTGTTGATTACAATGGTCATGGAAATTACAAGACGTTCAGAATTTTCTTGATCATCAAGAAGCACAAAGAATTAGACTACGTTCAGAACTTTCTTGATTACCTAACCAGCAAGCAATATGACTACAGAAAATCCGGAGTTCTGATGATACCAAGATCCACAGATCTTCTGTAACAATGGAGATGGAGTTCTAACAACATTCTTGATCCATGTGCCGGAAAACGCAAAAAAAAAGGTACACGAAGAATGTATAATCTGTGTGAATGCTTCCAACAAGCAAAGCAAATTCAGAAACACCCACTAGTATTTATTTTCTTTTGCAAAAATAAATAAATAGCCATGAGTACTGAAACAAGCGTTCGAATCCCAGCTGTTTCAGAATTCAGATTCAGTGCAAACAACTGGAAAAGGCTGCTTTGTTTTGACAGCGTTTGGCCCTGGAAGATCATGAGCAACTTTTCGATTTTTTGTTGGAAGATCATGAGTAACTGAAGTACTGAATCCAAGCAGATCAGGAGTAACTGAAGCACATCGACAAGCAAGAAATCTTTCTGGGTTACTTCGAACAACCAACAAGCAAGGAAGTTCGGTAATCTCCAGTGAACAAGAAAATTGCTAAACATTGATTTGTTGATTACAATGGTCATGCAAATTACAAGACGTTCAGAATTTTCTTGATCATCAAGAAGCACAAAGAATTACACTAATTTCAGAACTTTCTTGATTACCTAACCAGCAAGTAAGACGATTACAGAAAATCCAAAGCTCTGTTGATACCAAGATCCAATGGAGTCCTAACAACATTCTCGATCAGCCAGAGCTTCCATTACAAGTCAAATCCCATTCCAAGGAGATCAGGAGTAACAAGCAAGAGAAAAGGTACTAGAAAGAACGTAAAATCTTTATGGATTACTTCCAACAATCAACAAGCAAGAAAGTTCAGTAATCTCCAGTGAACAAGGAAATTGCTAAAGATTGATTGTTGATTACAATGGTCATGGAAATTACAAGACGTTCAGAATTTTCTTGATCATCAAGAAGCACAAAGAATTAGACTACGTTCAGAACTTTCTTGATTACCTAACCAGCAAGCAATACGACTACAGAAAATCCGGAGTTCTGATGATACCAAGATCCACAGATCTTCTGTAACAATGGAGATGGAGTTCTAACAACATTCTTGATCCATGTGCCGGAAAACGCAAAAAAAAAAGGTACACGAAGAATGTATAATCTGTGTGAATGCTTCCAACAAGCAAAGCAAATTCAGAAACACCCACTAGTATTTATTTTCTTTTGCAAAAATAAATAAATAGCCATGAGTACTGAAACAAGCGTTCGAATCCCAGCTGTTTCAGAATTCAGATTCAGTGCAAACAACTGGAAAATGCTGCTTTGTTTTGACAGCGTTTGGCCCTGGAAGATCATGAGCAACTTTTCGATTTTTTGTTGGAAGATCATGAGTAACTCAAGTACTGAATCCAAGCAGATCAGGAGTAACTGAAGTGCATCGACAAGCAAGAAAAAGGTACAACCAACAAGCAAGGTAGTTCAGTAATCTCCAGTGAACAAGAAAATTGCTAAAGATTGATTTGTTGATTACAATGGTCATGCAAATTACAAGACGTTCAGAATTTTCTTGATCATCAAGAAGCACAAAGCATTACACTAAGTCCAGAACTTTCTTGATTACCTAACCAGCAAGCAAGACGATTACAGAAAATCCAGCGCTCTGTTGATACCAAGATCCAATGGAGTCCTAACAACATTCTCGATCAGCCAGAGCTTCCATTACAAGTCAAATCCCACTAGGAAAATTCCCCACGATCAGCAAAAAGTAAGACGAGAGAACAACAAGTCTAAGCAAATCTACATCCGGTAGGCCTGGAGCGGCATTACGTCGAACACCACCCTCGGCGCCGGCCAGAGCCTCAGCTCGGTGAGCGGGTCGCCTGCTCCGCAAGTCATGTCACCGGGCGGCGCCACAGCAGCCGCGTTGGCCCTGATATCCCCGGGCGCCAGAGGGAACAGGTCGAGGCACTTCCTCGCCGCCGCAGATGTGTCAGCCTCCGGCACCTCCTCGGCCGAATCAGGGAACAGCGGCAGGCACCGCGGCGTGACCCCGGGGCCCGCGGCCTGCCGGGCGGCGGAAGGAGCCCACGGGCGCGTCTGGCCCTGCTGGGAGGGGGCGTGCTCCTGGCGCTTGCGGAGGACGGAGTTCCAGCGGTTCTTGACGGCGTTGTCGGTGCGGCCGGAGAGGAACTCGGCGATGGTGGACCAGCGGTTGCCGTAGGCGGCCTGGTACTTGACGATGAGCATGTCCTCCTCGACGGTGAAGGGCTTGACGGCCTCCACCCTGGGGTCGAGGTGCTGGCACCAGCGGAGGCGGCACGACTTGGAGTTGCGGCCGGGCAGGCCTCGGCAGATGGAGTCCCAGTTGTGCGGGCCGCCACAGCGCCGCACCTGCTCCCGCAGCAGGTCGTCCTCCTCCTTGGTCCACATCTTCTTGACCCCGTGCGGCGAGCCGTCGCCGTCGCAGGCGCCGGCGTCGTTGCCCTGGAAGAACGACGTCGGCATCATCACCCCCCAAGCTTGGATGGATCGCCTCGCCTCCGATGGATGGCTTCTTGCGGGATGGAACTGATGGCGCGTGGCGGTGGCGAGAGGCCGGAAGGGAGAAGGTGGACGCGGTGCGGAGGCCGCCGCTTGGTGCCGCCTTATATAGACGGACGGTGGGCGAAGTGGATCCGAGCAGGAGTCCAAACGCGTCCGCTGCAAGGAAAGGCAGTCCTGGCCTAGCCGAGGAAGCTACGACGGGAGCGGCCAGGATCAGGATATGGAAAGTGGAATTGATTCCGTCGGATCGAAAATCCGTCACATTTATGGAAACCACCCCCCTAAAAAAGGAAGGAGTCTGTCTCTTAGAGGTATCTTAGCACACGGAAATTGTAGGTAGGTAGAACCCCGATAAGGAGCGAACGTCAGATTTCTATCGACCTGATTCCGAACGAATCGTTCGGCATGGCAAGGGGGAACGACCGAACGATCTCGTTCGGCCTGGGAGACCTCCCAGCGCGAACACGTCCAGAAACGCCAACATGGGCCTGTTGCGGGCATCAAAAGGAAAACAGGCCCAATACTAAAACAGAAAAAACTGAGAAAAAATAGAAATCTAGAAATTCATAGAAAAAATAGCTGATGAAAAATACGACAAAAATCTAGAAATTCATAGAAAAAATAGCTGATGAAAAATATATTAAAATTGCCATGGTCCAACAAAAAAATAAACTTGCCATGCTAGAAAATAAGTTTGCCATGGTTTTAAATAAATTGCCGTTGGTCACAACAATTTGCCGCTGTTGTAAATTGCCATGGCAATAAAAGTTGAAATTTGCCGCGACGATTTAGGTAAAACTGCCATGGCAAAACAAAATTGAAAGAGCAAACTTGTCGTGCTCTCAAACTAATTTGTAATGGCCATGACAAACATTCTTCGGATGGACATGGCAAGAAGACACAACGAACCATGGCAAAAAAATGCATTTAGTTGCCATTGGAAAAAAAACATAGCTATAAACAAAATACTGATTTTAGTTGCCATGGCAAGTTTGCCATGATTTTGAGCATATTAGGTTGCCATGTTTTTAAACATCTTTAGTTGCCATGGCAAGTTTGCCATGTTTTCGAACATATTAATTAAATTTTTGTGCCATGCTTGCCATGTTATTGTACAAACTTAATTTAAAAAGTTTGCCATGTATTTCCACATCTTTAGTTTGCCGTGGCAAGTTTGCAAAAGGTTTTGAGCAATTTAAAATATCATGGCAAGTTTGCCATGTTTTTGAACATCTGAAAAGTTTGACATGTTTTTGAACATCATAAGTTGCCATGGCAAATATGCCATATTTTTGAACATCTATAACTTTGCCATGGCAAGTTTGCATGTTTTTGAACATGTTAATTATAGAAGTTTGCCATGTTCTTGAACAAAGTTTGCCATGTTTTTTAACATCTTAAATTGCCATGTCAAGTTTGCCATGTTTTTGAACATCTATAACTTTGCCATGTTTTTAACATCTTAAGTTGCCATGGCAACTTTGCCATGTTTTTAACATCTATAACTTTACCATATTTTTTAACATCTTAAGTTGCCATCACAACTTTTCTAATAACTAACTTAGAATTTTTTTTCACTCTACAAATTTGCCATGGCAACTTTTTGATAAAAACTTAGAATTATTTGTCTCTCTACAATTTGCCATGGCAACTTTTCTGGTAACAACTTAGAATTATTTTTCTCTCAACAATTTGCCATGGCAAATTTTTTATAACAACTTAGAATTATTGTCTCTATCTACAATTTTTTGACATGGTAACTTTTCTGATAACTAACTTAGATTATTTTCTCTCTACATTTTGACATGGCAACTTTTTTATAACAACTTAGAATTATTAATTGTGCCTACCTTTGTTTGGACTACTCAGAATTCACAAAACATAATGGAAAACACTATTCATGACAAGTACATGGCAAA